TTCTGATGAAAAAAAGTATAATTTTTTTTAATAATTTTATTATTGTATCAATAATAAAAAATTATTTGTATTATTATGTTATATTTTTTAATAAAAATATTTTTATTTAAAGATTATTTGAAGAAATGGTTGAAATTTTAAAACCTTTTGAGGAAATAACAAGGCATGTTTGTGGTGCCAAATACCCTACAATGAATCTCGTATATTCGTACGTTTGAATGTTAAAAAATAAGTATGCTCCAATAGCTGAAAAAGGTGAATCCATTAGATCTTATCTATGGACCCTTATCAGATTTTGAGAAAATTGCAGATAGTGATACAAGTGTTAGCAGTGATGACGAAGCTGACATATCATCAGCTGGGAGTAGAAAACAATGACAATATGTGCATGCTTATCAAAGTGTATACCGTCAAGAACATGGTTATAATCGTGTGAAAAAATATAAAAAAAAACGTGTAAATAGAATAGAAGAACTGGATAATTCAGATATAGTAAGATATTTACCTTCTGCAAACTGTGATGGGCTCTTAGAAAGAATGCGTGTCGCAATTTATTTGTCTCTTGACGAATTATGAGATATTACTCATGAAATTGGATTAAAAGCTTCCACGCAAATTAAAGCTACTTTCATTTGCTACTTCTATTGAACGAAGAAATATAGAAAATCAAATTTGTAAAGAATTACTTTTATTAAAACCTAACCGTAATAATAGTGATACAGAAAGAACACAGACTACTATAGAGGAAGATTGTGATTCTTTGAGCACTAAATTATGGGGCCCGCATTCAACACCTGTTTTACAAACTGCTGCTGAGGATGAATTAACAAAGTATTTGAGAGAACAAATTGCATCTAAGAATCAAGACCCTTTAGTATGGTGGGAACAAAGACGTGCAAGTTTTCCGTTGCTTTGTCAACTTGCCCATAAGTATTTATCTGTTCCCGCAACATCGGTTCCATCCGAATGGTTATTTTCCGATGCTGGTGCATATATTTCAGCAAGAAGGACTCGCCTTTCTCTGAATTTAGTAAACCAGATGCTGTTTTTAAAAAGAAATAGTAGCCATTTTTCAATTTTATCATTAGACAATAAATAGTCTTTCTTATGAGTTGAAAAAAGTGATACTAAATTCATTGATTAGATTTGTGTGACTATATTTCTAAAGATCGTATAAGTGATAATAAAATAAGAAATTAGACAACAAAAAGTTATTGTTTGTGATTTCTTGACTTATATAATTTTTAAAATTGATTATTAAAGAGCATGAATCAAAGTGTAATCAATTTTTTTTAGCCCAAAAGAGTATAAGGTAATATTTATTTAATTATACTTCGATATAATTACAAGAACACTTTATTTTATTACAAAGGTTTAAACATATATAATAACGTCTTCAAAGAATGAAAAAAAATTGTATTTAATATAAGAACAATACGTTATATATTATTCAAGTTTAATAAATGTAGTTTTTTATATCTGTATCTTTGAAAGCATTTGAGAATCCGACTATAAAACATACTACATAATGTTAGCAATTATTCGAACTGATAAACGTTCTAAAATTTTTTTTCAATTGTCGGCAAAGTATAAGATATACATGTGTGTATATACGTACATACTAGGGTGGTAACTCAACTAAACTATGTGAGCAAACAATGGAAATTGATATATTACCAATATTGCTAACATAGTTTTGATTTACTTAGTTACCACCCATACGTACGTATGTACGTAATATTTACATTAGTCAGCAAATCTTAAATTATATATGGATATCAATTTGAAATTACAAATTTAATCGAATCGGCCTCAGGATTTATGATATGTATATAATTAAATTTGGATATATAATTAAATCCAGATATATAATTGAATCCGGATATAATTATAAATCCGAATATATATATCCGGATTAATTATATCTGGATTAAACCCGGATCATATTTTTAATTACTAATTATATCCGGATATAAATATAAATCTGGATATTAACTCTATCAATAACATATAGCTAATACATTAAACACAAAACTCAAATATCATTATGGAACTTGCTTTGACTACTGTAAATATTTGTACTGTGCAGCAGATTTGAGTCAAATTACTTGTAGCTATAAAAAATCTATAGTGCCAACTAAAAAAAATAGAACTGCCTAAGTCAAACAAGCATATACATGTTTATTTGAGCCCACCTAGAAGTCACTAAAGTTTGAATATATTTATAAAAAGAGTTTTCAAATTTAATTATCAAATAAATTTGAAAAAGTTATTCAAGTTTTCTCTTTATCATAATATTTTGCTCAAATTAAATCTCCAAAAAGCTAAAAAAAAATCAGCAAACAAGGTAATAGATAAAGTGATAGGTGTGAAAATAGATAATGTAATTGAAGTAATAGATATGGCTTTGAATATAGGTTCAGATATAAGTAAACCTAATGTATTTATTTATTTATTTATTTTTATTACATATATAAATTCATATATAGTTTTTTTTGTTTAAGAAATAATCCTGTCATTTTCTCTATCTGTGTCTTTAATAACCAGTAAAGATAAAGTATTGAGTAGTAACGAAGATCCTGAATTTGAAATAAGTTACAAATTATTTGTCAAAACTGCAGAAAGAATGTCATTACTAGCAAAATAGTTTAAAGAATTGGTGTCAACTATAAATGAATTTTTTTCATCAATTTATAACAAAGTTACCATGCTGATAAAAAATAATACTCTCTTGCCGACTAATTATAGTGTAGTATTTAAAATATCAAAAGAAACTGGTGCTGGAACCCAACTAGCTGATATACAGGATTTTATAAAATTTAAAGCTGAATGTCTAAAATTAGCTGCCAAAAACGTTGATATAGAAATTTATATAATAATTATGCAGGCAAAAAAAAAGATAATTTTTTTTTTTTTTTTTTTTTTAAGGTAAGATCTTGCCTCTTGTTATTTTATTAAATATATATGTACATAACATACATTATACTACAATTAATAGAACAGTGGCTTAGACTAATTATCTATCTATGTCCCACTCATGTATTATCTAGATTTTGTGTACTACTAACTAAATATTCTATTCTAACCTAATATATTCCTCACATTTCTTATGCTAACAACCTTATACTCTCAATATGGTTCCAATGCGGTATCCATTACAGATCCCACTAGGGGGCACCAGACAAGCGTAATCTCACGGCTACTTCCAGATTGGTGTAGTACATGTTGTCTGCCATTACTGAGTTTGTATCTCAAGCCATTATTTGTAATACCGCCGTAATCCAGTTTGTATCTCAAGCACAACCTTCCTTATTACATATAGTGTTGATAGTATACATGCAGGACTTGATAGCAGATACTCCCCTAATTGGTGGGTTTTACAGGTTATGGGTGTCGAAACTTCCAACTGAGTTTTTCGGAGTACATATTGTACTACTTCCAGTATTATATATTGGTATTTTAAAGTTGGTGTTCCTGTGTTCTGTTTCATACTTGTTTCTTTTTTCCAGATCTCATCCTAGGATCTTCTTTAGTCATACTACCGAAGTAGCCAAAGAATGTACAACTGAGGTGGCTCACGTGACCTGGTGACCAGGCAAGTACTTTTAGTCAAGTATGACCTTGTCGTGCTTTGTCTGTTTTAAGTGTATCCCAAGTTTTCACCTGCCAACTTACTCTATATATGGAAATCTCATTCAATTTAGTAGTAGTACAGGTGCCAGAGGTGTTCCAAATCTGGCAAAGCCAATTCTTTATCACAGGTCCCTTTGTATTCACACATTTCTCACCACTTCCAATTCTAGTTACCATCCAGTCATCCTCCCAAACAAGATCCCCAATGCCACCTTAGAAGTTGTTGGTGCTACCTTGCCAATTGCAAATTTATACATACAACCTTTGTATAATAGAACCTTCTGTAACAGCCCTGTTATATGTAGTGCCAACTACTCCACAATAGACCTCTTTCCAGAAATTCCTAATTCAGACTTGTATTCACTTCCTATGGCAGATACTTCCAAATATTCATAGGTAAATGTACCTACTAGAACTTGAACCTGAAACTTACTCATAGAAGGTTGGGTGCCTAGACCACTAGGCTATGAGATCCCAACCCCCCAAAAAAAAGATAATTTAATTGAAGTTATTTTAAGTATTTATATATATATATTAACTAACTTAATTACAAAATGGTTTAGGATACAAATTTAAATGATAATAAAGAAAACAAATTTGTGATTAATCACAAAAATAGTAATAAGGTTTTATGTATTGTTACAATGCTATGGCCTTCTTTGTAACCATATAGCACAGTAACAAGATCACCCAGTGCAGAGATTCTGCTACTGGAATATACATAGGGTGGATGTGGAGTACAATTAAATATCCACAGCAGAAGGTAAGCAGTTCGGTATTAGGATAGTGTATTTTAAACCTTTATTTATTATAGAACAGAGGATAACCTCTTTTAGAGATCCTAAAAAGAGTTATACATTACAAGAGAGAGAATCACAAGACTAATTCTACATGAGAGAGATAATTGAGATCTATCTAAGAGCTATAGATTTCTGTATCAGATCTATTTTTACAAGAAGAGATTAATGCTCCTTTTATATACCTTTTACACAATAGAAGAGGGAATTAAGAGAAATGTAACATTGTACTTGAGGGAGTTAAGAGATGTGCTTGAAGGAGTAGAAGGCTGTATTGAGGGAGTTGAAGACCATGTTAAGGAAGTAGAGGGAGTTGAGGGAGATGGAGGTCATGTTGAGGGACTTGAAGGTATAGTTGAGGGACTTGAGGGCCGTGTATAACTTTAGCCACATTATGTGCCACAGTGGCTTTAACTCTCTGTTAAATACTAATATTAATATATAATAAATAATAACTATTTAATATAAAATACAAGATAATAAATATAAACTAAATAATATAAAATATAGAATTTAAATTATAAGCTACGCTATGCTAATTTACAAAAACCTGTTTCATAACAGTATTTCTTCTTTATCTTTACATGATAAGGCAATTGCTAAGAATGTGCTAAAAATTCGAACAGAATATTACTGTAATATACATAATCGACTTTGTCTATACAAAAAAAGCAATAAAAATTTACATGTAGAAATTACTTTTATAATGCTTTTAATATGGGCGTCAGACATGGTAAATTTTATTGTTTTCTTGCATTGTACAAAATTGGATTTTTTGCAGTATTTATATATTGATATACATACATATGTACTGTATATATATATAAAACAAAGGGTTGGCTACAATTAAAGCCCCCAACACATCCTCTTTTTTCTCATACTAAGACATCTAAAAAATTATATTTCTCTTCTTCACAAGTATTACAACTGTTATTACAAGTACTATCACTACAATCACAAGCTCAATTATTACCAACACTATTATCATCATTACAAGCACTATTATCATCATTTTCAGTAGCTTTATTATCCTTATCACAACAAGCACCATTAGTTTTATTACTGCAAGCACCATATGTTCTGCTACTACAAAATAATTGGGCTTATAGATCTTCAGTATTTTAACCATTTTCAATGCTTTTTAATTTATATTCACAAATATTCTTTATCAACCCCAAGCAAACAAATTTTTTTTGACTATATCAACGATAGCTGAATTTTTAAAAGAAGTGGATGAAAGTGAAGCAACTAATTGCTATTATTAAAATTTTTTGCATAAATTTGAAAAACAGCAAATTTCAGTAAAGAATTTAGCAAGATTACCTGATAATGCACTTAAATTATGTGGTGTAGATACAATTAGTGTTTGACAAACTTTGCATAACTATGCTGAAAAATATTAAAATGCTTTTTAAAAGTCAGGAATATGGGTAGTAAAATTTTATTCAAAGTTGATATTTATACAAAACAGAAGGGAACATACCTAATCCAAAATAAATCCTACAAATAGTGTAATCAATTAAAATTAATATAAATAATTTTTAGTTTTATTGATCATACTATATATGGGATTTACTTTGGATTAGATATGTTCTCTCCAGTTTTTATTTATATATAAAATCTTACTTTGTTACATTGTTATTAGGTTTTTAGGAAGGAGAAGTTTTAATGAAGAATCTTTGCAAAATAATACTTCAACTTCATTAAATATTAATTGCAATAATCTAGAAAAATGTCTTAGAACTTTGCAAAAATACTAGCTTGATTTTGTTTAAATTATGTAATTCATACAAATTTATTGAATTTAATAAATAATTTTTTGCAATATTATAACTTTAATTTATATTTGATAAAGTATAAATTGTATATAAAATAGAATGCTCTTATATAAAAATCAAACTTTCTTATTTACCTGAGTTGGAATTTGATAAATATAAATTTCTTATCAATTTACAACTATTTATTTTTTTATGCAAAATTTTTGCATTTTACAATATTTTATTTAACTAAAACTTGACCATTTTGTTTATAGTTGTTAGATAAAACCTTTTTTGCTTGGTGCCAAAATGATAAAACCTCTGACAAAAGGTAAAATCTCAAATTCTGCTAACAAAAGATGAAACCCAAATTCAAAATAATGAAACCTTAGTGCTAAAAAAAAAAAAAAACTAATTGATAAAACTTTATAATAATGGTAAATTTCTACTTATTTTGCTAAAAAATTACTAGTAAAATTTTGGTCTAGATGAAGTTATTAATAAAAATAATAAAATTATCTCTATAATTAAGATATTTAACCTGTCGAATAAGGCTTTTTATTTATATTTATTACTGAAAATATTTATTGACTTGTATGTATATTTAGGTTTTAAAAAGCCAATTACGGGAATTATAAATAGCAAATAAGCTATTAGTATCTATGTTTAATGCTAAAGATATTTATTGGCTTGACTCGACTTGTATATTTAGGTTTTGAAAAACCAATTACAGAAATTTTATAATTGAAGATCTGAAAACAATATATATACATACCTCTTATTAATTTTTATTATCTGTACTAATTTATTATTAAAAAGTCTTTTATTGATTTAGCTAATAGGCATAATAATTTTTTAATTAATATCGATATACAGAAATTTGTAGAATAATCTTAATTGTGCAAATTTACTTAATTGATCAATTACTTCTAAGTTATTTATTAAAATTAATACAATTGTATGTTTTAAATTTTAGTCTTATGTAAATATAAATATAGAAGCCAGTGATGCCCTTACTTACACTTACTTCTGTTTCTCATCTTTTATTAGTTTTATACTCTTTGCAATTTCATCAGTTTCATTAGTTTCATCACCTTTTGTTATTTTGTTATTTGAGATTTTAGTTGACGAAAGATGAAACTAAGTTTCATATTTCAACAGTGCAAAACCTCAAGGTTTCATCTAACAACTATAATTCCGTCTGTTAGAAAAATTTAGTATTAGGCTTTACTCAAATATCTTTGTTATGTTTTAATAAAATATTTTCATTATTCATCCATTCTGCTATTAAAGGTTATTGGTGTTTTATTGTCTGAATCTGATTTTATTTGATGAAAGTTACTTGTTAGCCTGCAACACTAGTGTCGTAGATTAATTAGTAACTTTCATTAGCAAAATAACCTAACTTAAAAGGGAAAGTCCTCAATAGTTATTAATGTATTTTAATTTATTCACTTAAGGAAAGTACTAAGTTTGCTTTTATTATTCACAAACTTTTATATTCAATTGACTAACTAAATCTTTATTTTTATTATCGCTTCGATACTTATACCCATAATTTGACTCTAATCATTAAATTATATATTGATCATATGATCATTGTCTTTTAAATTATTTATATATTTTAATTGATTGTTTATGCATAATTTATTAATAAACTATCTCATAACACCCAACATTACATAATTGATCGCTCTCTTGATTCATTAATTAAAATCTTATTTCGTATATTACCAACCGTCTATGATTATTATATAAGTCATGTGAATTATGTGTAATATAGTTCGTTTGTTCTGCCCCAATACCTATATATATATATTATCATACTTTATATATTCCTTCACTTCAACTAATTTGCTTTAATAGAAATAGTAAATAAGTTTATGAAGATAAGTATTATAATTATTGATTGAATTTCTATATTTTAAATGAAAAAATTTATACCAATACTAAATATATTATTTATTAAAATTTATTTATTTATTTATATCCTGAGGATTTGTAAAATTGTTTTGCCATTTCTGGTGAAATTTGTACAAATGCTACTAATAATAGATATATTAAATCATGTGAACTCTCAACAAAGTATCAATAATGTTGCAAATAACTTTTAATTATAGAAAATGCTGTCTCAATTAGATTGAGATCAGGTAAGTATAGTGGAAGAAATTTTACATATACTTCAAATGCATCCAAATATTCAAGCAATCCATTATTATGATGGATATGTGTATTATCCAGGACAAGAACATTATTTGAATGCGGGAAAGAGTTTATTTGTAGTAGCTATAATAAATAAAACATTAGTTAAAAATTTATTAAAATTTTGGTTAATACTAATTACAGTTATTATTATATATACAACTTTATTTATAATAAAGACTTAAATTTAGGCTTAGTACAACTGCCTCCATTATATCAACAGCGATTATTCTCTGTAGTGTTAATACTAGACAAATTGTATAACATGTTCTACGTACAAATACAATTTTTTTTGCTACCTGAGTATTAATTTGAGAATATCTATACCCTTGTGTAATAGATCTTTCATCTTTTGCAAACTCATCAAAGAATATTAACTGTTTTGGCTAATAATACTTGCCAACATGTGCTATAAAAACACTTCATGTAAATCTATTTCTTTCTTTTGCAGCTTTGTGAAGCTATAATAAAAATGAAATTAATAACTAACTTCTAAATTTTTTAATTTTTTTATTAATAAACAAACAAAGTTAACTTTTTTCTAATAATTCCACAGTATGCAAACAATCTTCACAATATTAGAATTGAAACCAATTTTCCAGTACGGTGTTCCATTTCAGAAATGAGTTCACCCAGGTACCAATCGACTTTTTCCTTAACAATTTCTTGTAAGATTTAATAAATATAAAAATTATTAAAATCATTATAAGTATTAGATTATATAAAATAAAACTATATGTGTATATATTCATTTCATTTCTATTAAATATTTTTCATGGTCTAGAGACTTGGCACCAAGGATGAGTAACTGCACTCTATTTTTTATAAATTCTTAAAACTTTATTTACTAATGATTTACTAATATACAAAGTACTAGCAATATTATTTTTCAAATAATTATCATAATATAAGAAGATAATATGCCACTTAAGATCCTCACTATAAGGACATGGCATATTAAAAATGGAAATTATTTGTATAAATTTATTATAAGTTTATTACAATTAATTTCAAAATTATTTCTTATAACTAGTAATGAGAAAAAAAAAGAAAATAAAAATTGATTTTTTTTATTATAAAATTATAAAATACATGTCATAAATATTATTATAATACAAAGTATATATTACAAAAAGAATAATGCTATTGTCAAATCGTTATAATACAAAATAAATAAATTTTTGACATAAAAACATTAGTATAGCTATAGAAGGTGTAGCGACTTAGTGTAGTGGTCTAGTCGTCACTCTCTTCAAGTAGCAGGTCTAGAGTTTGAATCCTATAGACGACGAATTTTGAAAAATAGGCTTGTGTTATGGTTGACGGTTATGATTATCGGTTGGATCTTAGATAAATCTGTAACTTCGGTCACACCATCTAATAATGGGAGCAATAGCGCAATAAAGCTGAGGAACCGGCATAACTGAAAACTCATTTGGGAAGTCCCGAGTTAGAAAGTAGCAGTGATCTTTGATGGTATCACAAGAAGGCTGAATTCGAACCGGGGCCCGAAATCGGAGAACCAAACAACCAGGTCCTAATGGTGGAGGACACACCAGCCGAATCACCAGATTCTGTCGCACCAGAAGAAAAGGACATACGCTTCGAAAGTATGTAACAAGGGGAGGGCGTCCTTCAGGTACCTAAAAGCCTGGGCAGACCAACTCTTCCAGGTTGCCAGCTGGAAGTAAGGGAGAGACCGATAAAGAATCCGGGTAAGAAGACGGTCCGAATGCGGGTACCAGGGTTTGCTATAAATCTAATAAGGGCAAGAAGTAAGTAATAGGCGACTAATTAGAAAGGTGTGGATCTGGGAACTGCAACACTGCAGGGGGAGGGACCCAGGATATATAGTAATATATATACTAGATTAGTACTGGTACTAGTTAGTTGCAGGGGTTCAATGATTAGCCTTGACCCCAAGTGCATGGGTCAAGCTATGGTATAAAGTTACCGAAGTCTGGGTGAATACATAGGTAAGACATGTACTCTAGCAAAAGGGGCAGCTAAGGCCTGAGTTATACGATATCTACATTGCACCTCGACGTATGACGATATTGTGGCCAATATCAGTGAGGTAACTGCATCAGCAAATTTATAAGACCATAATATTTCGTAATAATTTACGAACCGTAAAAAAGCCGTAATATTACATAAGAAATTTTGAAATATTGCGAAATATCAAATTACGAAATATTACGTAAGATATTTCGAAATTTCTTACGTAATATTACGGCTTTTT